CCAGACTGTTCAATTAATGTAAGCTTTGGAGCTCAGTTAAACACAAATTATTTTGTCAACGGTGGCTTAGGTCTTCATATGGTTGACTCTAAAGCTACATAGGTATCCTATTCTTAGGGTGTACAGTGAGAAGAGAAAAAAACAAACACAGAAAAAAGTAAGCCTAATATAGGTATACTAGAGGCCCAGTGCACCGACGCATGCTCCGGTGGGGTCCCTTGGCCTGGCCTGCGCCATCTCACAATCCAGGACCCTCGAGGGATGTGATACTGCCGGTTTCGGCTCGATCCCTGCAGGCCAGGCCAAGGGTTTCTAGTATGCATTTAAGATCTTTGGTTAATATTCTTCCTGCCCTCCCCCCACCCCCCTTCCCTGAGATTCATCAGACTGTTCCATGTTTCCATGACTGTGTGCTGAGCGTCTGCCCCCTGGTAGTCGGTGCACATCATAGTTACCGGTCGAACAGTTGGCCGGTTGCTTAGGTTTTTATATATATAGATGGCTCGTCACTGGGGAAAGGAAGCTGGGCGTTGCTATGTAATATCATTACCTGGCACCCACAGCCACCGTTTCTGGGCTGGGCTGGGGGTGTATTTTGTGGTATGGGGTCTCGGCAGTGTCGGCGAACTTGGTGGGCTGTTGCTCTAGGGTGGTGGCAGAGCCTGTGTCCCATATGGGGGAAGCCAAGTGTTGCTTTGTGAGCACCAAGTCTGTAGTGTCATTTCTTTGTGTGCACCTCAGTAGCTCCTGCATTGAGCATCTGCCCCATGGTGGTCAGTGTGTGTTATAGCGACTGGTTGGAAGGTGGGAAGGATACTTAACATGTTAGCCTTTTTATATAGAAGTCCTAGCCATAGCAATCAGACAAGAAGAAAAACTAAAAGGCGTACAAATTGCAAAGGAGAAAGTAAAACTGTCATTATTTGCAGATGACATGATACTGTACATAGAAAACCCTCAACACTCCACCTAAAAACTGCTAGCTTTAACAAATGTAGCAGGATACAACATCCAGAAATTGATGCCCTTTTTATACACCAATAATGAATGCTCAGAAAAAGACTAAAAAACAATCTCGTTGCCCTGGCTGGTGTGCGCAGTGGTTAGAGTGTTATATGGCTGGTAGGAAGGACGTATCTGTTAGGATGTTTTCATACACATGTGAGATAAAATCCAAAGCCAGCTGGAGTGAGGAACTGGAGGAAGATTTGATCTAGCAGCCCAATGGGGCTGACGAGGGTATGCTTTTCCTCTGCACTACTCCGCCCGTGATGGCTTCTTATTCAACTGACTTTTCTTTTATAGTCAGAACACAGCTTCCAGGAATTTAATAACTGTACACGTTCGGACTGAAATTCAGCATAAACAAATAAGTGCCTTTATCCCAGCATTTTTAGCAAAAGCCCCAACATTCATTCTGATTGATCTGGCTTAGATCACATGCTTGCCATGTTGGCCTTAGGTTAAGACACATGTTCCATTCCTATAGTCTCTTCATAACATTCATTAAAGACAACACATTAAAGTTGATCTTAGTTATTTAAACCTCTGATATTACTAAATAATGGTATTACCAAATTAAAACTGATGGGTCAAGCACATCATATAACTTTCTCTATCTTCATAAAGTCATTCCCCAGATTTTAAGCATAACCCATCAAGACCAAAAAAATAAAAAATAAAAGTAAATCATTTCCTGAATGTAAATCACTTTTTGAAGGATTCAGAAAGTGCTACCAGCTTACCATGCAGTTTTATAATTTTTAACAGAACTGAAAGCAACACCATAGATTTTTCAGGAAGAAAAAGAGGCTGATATACCATTTTTTCCAAGATTATAATAACAGAATTTAAAGGAAACAGAAAAGAACATAGATGACTTGAGTTAGGCTAAATAAATAAATAAATAAGCGAACAAATGTATGTATGTATGTATGTATGTATGTATGTTTTGTTTCATTGAGCTTTGGAATACAAGCAACTAAATAATCCATCCTGTACTTCAAGACGCCTCTCACCATATGAGACCATCACCAAACCTGCCCTGTCCCCAAGTCTCCCACTTCCTGTCACCCCGCCTCTACACACGCTCTCACAATTAGGTCCTAAGAACAAAGCAGAGATGCACACTTCAGGGAGTTTTTTTGCAAATGCACATTCCAAAGCCAAACAAACAAACAAATTCTGATCATACTTCTTACAAGCCGTGTCCTTCATTCCTATAATAAGCACAGAAAATAGAAGTCAAGTTATTCTGTTTTTACAACAGAGAAGAATGCAAAATTTATTAGACTGAAAGCCAATACTCCAATATATAGGACAGGAGCTGATTTTCATGGTAAAATTGAATAAACACAAAAGGCTAAGTTCAAGCAACATTTTTAGAGTAGAACTAATCACTTGAAAATATGTTCCACACCAATCATCTTAAATCAAAAGTCAAATTTCACTCATAATCCTAGAAGGAAGCAGTGTGGTTAAAGATAAGACTGTAAATTAGAAGAAAACCTCTATAATAATTTAATTCTGTGGATTGGTTTTTCAAATACTATTCAAATAATTCAATTCAGTAAGTAGGCACTCGTGGTTTTATTAAGAACAACATACTAGTGTTAGACACAGTAAGGATATAAACATAGCTCTTGACTTCGCAAAGTGTATAATGTGCTACAAACGCAATATACACAAGCATAAATTACCAGAAAGCACAGGACATAATCAAGTAGAAACGCATGAAGCACAAAAAGATTGTAGGTAATCAAAAAGGGGAGAAATCAAATAAATCAGGATGATTTCCACAGCAAGTAACCGCATCGAAGGGCAAGAGTACTTAAGTAAGGAAATTAGTTGTGTCACATAACAGGAACCCACTATTAGGGGGTTCTATTAAATGGGTTTCAGTTCTAGTCTGTGCAATTGTCTTGCCTCTGTTCTCCTTTACAGAAGGGCATCACTTTCAGGCTAGTAGCCTAAGTGAATACAGCAGTTACAGATGTTACAACCTGATAAAACTAGCTGTAGGGAGAAGAGGGATCATCTCTTTCTCTCACTTCCTTCTCAAAAGTAAAAAAAAAAAAAAAAAAAAAAAAAAATTCCTTCCCAGAAGTCTCTTGCAGACTTCCCTTTTATTTTCAACTGGCTAAAACTTGGTTTCATGCCCATTCCTAAAATAATCCCATCCAAAGGCAATGAGATCTACCATAGCCAAGTTCAGAATGGATGCTAGTAACTATCATGACCATCACTTCATTTTGTTGTAGATGTTGTCTGCAGGGCGCAGTGGCTATAATAATAAGTCCTCCCAGCATAGAGAGTCTGTTCATAGAGTAATATTGCTGCAGAACACAGTTGCTGGCCTAGTGCATATGCTATGTGAACCACTTTCTAGATCTTGTAGAAATCTTCCTCTGTATTCTGAGGTAATATAGCAGAGGCAGCTACAGAAGGAGAAGGCCTTGTTTCATGTTACCACACTTGGGAAGAAGGCACGCTTTGATGGGGTTCCTTGTATATTATATATGCATTGATCGTAAGTATATACAAGAAACATCTCTCTGGATTTTGTCAACCTTTGTCCCTAGTAGTCATACTGGCATCAAGAAGCTTCAACTGATTGCCCATGTTTGCATGTAGATCATTCATCTTCCTCCCTAATCGCCCTACTATCGAGATCTGTTGTGGATGGCATGTTCCCCATCACTTGATGGGCTGTCAGGTGTTTATTATTTATTTTCCTCATTGTTCATGCAAATGTAGAGTCATTTCTTCTGTGGCAACTTCTTCAACTATTAGTTCTTAAAAGTCTAAGGACGGAATCTGGTGATCAGTCTAGTATTCTTCCTCCGTGATCAGTACAAGATGTGCCTGTTGGTGGGCTGGCAGGTGACAGGGAAAGTTGTTGGAGACCTTGGGGACCATTAGGTGGGACTGATTTTTGTTTTTGTTTCTGTTTTGTGGGCTCAGCCACCCTGCATCTTTAAAGATGATTTGTGTTTTTTAGTCATCTACTATTTGCCGAGTTGGTGGCCTGCTGCATGGTCTTGTGTGTGACTTCAATGATGCAGCTACTACAGCCAGTGTAATGCCACGTGAGTTAAGAACTGAGGAGATTCGGAGTTGAGAAATGAGGAATTAAAAGTAGTTCCAATAAATAAAGCAGAAGTTTCTAACATAAAACTTTTGGTGGATTGATTAACACCAATTTTTTTTAAGAGGACGCAAAGGAAGATTTATGGGAAACATTCTTGTTTCAATCCTCAGATTGATCAAGCAAGGTAAAAGGGAAATGTAGTGCTATAAATCATCTGCAAACCATGCAGTAAAAAGATGGCAGGGGTGCCATGGCTGTTTGGTGCATTAACTAGAGCACTGGCCATGGACCGAGGAGTCAAGGGTTCGATTCCTGGTCAAAGGCAAGGGGCTTGGTTGCAGATTCCATCCCTAGCCTCAGTTGGGATTGGTGCAGAAGGCAACCAAATCATGTGTCTCATGTTAATGTCTCTCTCTCTCTCTCTCTCTCTCTCTCTCTCCCTCTCCCTCTCCCTCTCCCTCTCCCTCTCCCTCTCCCTCCCTCCCTCCCTCCCTCCCTCCCTCCCTCTTCCCATATTCTCCAGTGAGGAGATAATATATATATATATAGCAGGGCTCGGTCTATTTAACTCATTTCATATTTGAAATGTCCTATACAGAGAAGCCTTAAATAGAACCAACACCCAACATATTACTTCAAGGAAGAAAGGCCTTGGAGGATGGCATCATTTGGACTGGTGGAAGAAATAAAAAAGAAAAACACAGAGGCTTTTGTACCTAACTGAAGAAGAAAGTGAAACTGCAATCATAAATACACTGTTAGAAGCAAAAAATTCTCTTAAGCTGGACTGCTGTCATTATCATACGAAAGTTAACTTACTATTTAAGTCAGTAAATGGTAAAAATGTAGGATGAGGAATCCTATTTTTAAGGAAAAGATTTAAGTTAGCAGCAAGGATATTCAGACTCACCACTCCTTGTCAACAGTCACCCACGAAGCTGTCTCTGGGCCGGAAGCATTCCATGTTATGCATAGAGATGACTGCAGACTCACTGTCAGTAGTTGTTCCTTGAAGGTTTCTTCTCACTTGGGTTGAGGTTTCACTCAAAAATCCAAACTCACAACAGGACCTATCTGCAAATGAAAACGAACAATTAGGAGGCAGAATGTTGCAGGGATGCCCAGTCAGTGTGGCTCAGTGATTGAGTGTTGGCCTATGGACCAGGAGGTCCTGGTTAGATTCCCAGTTAGGGCTCATGCCAGGGTGCAGAAGGCAGCTGATTGATTGGTGAGTCTTTCTCATCACTGATGATTCTCTCTCTCCCCCTCTCCCTTTCTCTCTGAAATCAATAAAAAGATATTTTAAAAAATGTTGCAGAGAGCAACTCTCCCCTTCCCTATGATTAACTGATTCATATGAAAATTGAAGTTAAACACCAGATTCACTAAGCAACATGTTCAAACTAAGCAACCTTTACTTCAAAGGTTGTAATGTACTTATTATAGTTACCACCCTTTCCCATCATATAAACTGATCATAATATCCACAGTGTACAAGGTGTTCTTTTTTTTTTTAAATATATTTTTACTGATTTTAGAGAGGAAGAGAAACATTGATGAATGTGAGAGAAAAACAGTGATTGGTTGCCTCCCACACTCACCCCAACTGGGGTTCAAACCCGCAAACTGGGCATGGGTTTTGACCTGGAGTGGCACCAGCACTGTCGTGGTGCAGTGGACAATGCTGGACTAACTGAGCCCCATCAGCCAGGGCCAGGTGCAGCTCTCACCAAAGGTTCCCCACTGGGCAGAACCCAACACACGTTTGTTTAGCAGACCCACACAGTGTGAAAAAAGACAGCTGCCGACATTTGTATATCAAAAGACAACATAAAAAATCACGATTTCTGAAGTAACTTGAAAACAAACAAAAAACAGCAGTCCGGACAGTATGAGGCCCACACTGGCACATGGTAACAATCTGCTAGTGATCAGCAGCTGATCTTCAGCCAGGTCATGGTCCTGCTGAGCTCCACAGGCTTCATCACCATCACCACTCTCTCACACAGACCCAGCTCAGTTATCGCTCTGGCCCTGTTGAACTTGCAAACACTGATATTTACCGTATTTTTCGGACCATAAGACGCACTTTTTTCCCCCAGAAGTGGGGGGGAAAGTCCCTGCGTCGTATGGTCCAAATATAGCCTACACATATACTTTAAAAAAAAAGTTTTTTTACTTGCCCGGCTCTGTGTGGTCTCTGTGTGCTTGCCCAGCTCTAAAATGGTTCTAAATGCTGCTGTTTACAGGGTTGATTACATGTGTTTATGACTGTGATGTTGGGTTTTAATGCACATAAAATATTTTAGGACACTATTTGTTTCAGAATCTTTTTTTCTTCATTTCCCTTCTCTAAAAACTGGTGCGTCTTATGGTCCGGAGCGTCTTATGGTCCAAAAAATACGGTACTTATCATAGCTCACAGGCAAAATGTATTACTATCAAAGCCAAGCATGTTTCTGCCTTGAGGATACAACACAGGACAGGATAACCACTATGGCTCTGGAGTCAGAGGGCCCTAGGCTTGAGCCCTACTTCTACCTAGAATTAGCTGTGTGACCTCAGGCCTGTTTTTAATCTCTGGAAAATGTATCTCTTTATTTACAAGCCTCCAAATAAACATATAACCACTTAATACAACAAGCATGTCTAAAATCTAAGCCCAAACTGAATTGATAATCCCAACTATTTAAATAATGGTAGCTTGAAATTTCAAGATTCCATATGAGGAATATTAGTATTTCATTAAAAGGAAAATGAAGACAAAATGGTGGGGATGCTACACATCACTCCTGGTAAGGCTGGTGCCTTCTTGATCAATAAACCTTCCTCACTCCAAATTCAGATGTTTCAAAAGTCAGGCACACAAACTTGGGACTGGTAATAGAAACCCAAACAAACTCACTAATAAGAGAGAGCAATGAAAGCATGTCCACACAAAGAAAACTGGCTAGAGGAGGCAGTACATGATAGCAATTAAGAAAACAGGCTCAGGAGCCAAACTGTCAAAGTTTAATTTCTGGTTCTGCCACTTACTAGATGTGTTGACTTTAGTCATTACTCACCATGCCTCACTTTCCTAAACTGTAAAATGGAAATAATTCGTAAGGCTACTGTACGGTTTAAAATAGGTTAATGCATATAAAAGGCCTACAACATGGGCTGGGACTAAATAAGTCTATAGAAGTATAGCTATGGCACCTTAGGTGGTGTGGTTCAGTGGTTGGGAGCATCAGGCCTCTCACCAGGAAGCCTTAGGTTCCATTACCGGTCAAGGGCATGTACGTGCGCTGCAGGTTTGGTTCCTGCCTCGGTGGGGGCATCTGCAGGAAAGTGAACCAATCTGTGTGTCCATTTCACATTAATGTTTCTCTATATTAGGGGTGTTGAACTCAATCAGAGAAGGGGCCAAAATCTAAAATCCAGCCTAAATCGCGGGCCGAATGGTTTACTGAACAGTCATAAACTGTCATTGTGATGGAAACGCAGCGGAGTGCAGTGATGACAGCGCGGTGCGGGCCACATTGCAAGGCCTGGCGGGACGGATTTGGCCCGCGGGCCTTGTGTTTGACACATGTGCTCTCTATATATACCCACTCTATATATGTCCACTCTAAAAATCAATGAGGAGCCCTAACCAGTTTGGCTCAGTGGATAGAGCATCATCCTGCGGACTGAAGGTTCCCAGGTTCGATTCCAGTCAAGGGCATGTACCTTGGTTTCAGACACATCCTCAGTAGGGGGTGTGCAGGAGGCAGCTGATGGATATTTCTCTCATCGATGCTTCTAACTCTCCATCCCTTCCCTTCCTCTCTGTAAAAGATCAATAAAATATATTTTAAAAATAAATTAATAAAATAAAAAATTGGGAAAAAATATTCTCAAGTGAAGATTAGCAAAACAAAAGTAGTATGGCTATCTAAAGGGGAATTGGGTTTAATATATGATGCAACATTATAATAATCCTATATAATAAAAGGCTAATATGCAAATAGGCCGAACAGTGAAACAAGCGGAACTGAACAACTGATTGCTATGATGTGCAGTGACCATCAAGGGGTGTGCACAGAACATGATGGGCATCGGCCATGGCAGAATGGTGGAGCAGGTGAGTGGGGCCGCCAGAGCAAGACAGGACATTGGTCACTGTCATTGGGGTGAGCCTCTGGTCTAGGGGTGTCGAACTCAATCAGAGAAGGGGCCAAAATCTAAAATCCAGCCTAAATCGCGGGCCGAATGGTTTACTGAACAGTCATAAACTGTCATTGTGATGGAAACGCAGCGGAGTGCAGTGATGACAGCGCGGTGCGGGCCACATTGCGGGATGGATTTGGCCCGCGGGCCTTGTGTTTGACACGTGCTCTGGTCATTACTGAAAATTCTTTGCTCCCGCACACCATGGTCACGCCCAGTGCTTGTACCTGCTGCTGGTGCCAGCCCCACTTACACACATAGCCAGTGCCACAGCCGTTGCTCACACCCACTGCTGGCACTGGCCCTGCAGCCAGGGCTGGAGTCACCACTTGCACCCACTACCAGCACTTGGCACTGGTCCCAATTGCTTGGCACCATCAGCAGGTGGGATCAGTGGCTGCTAGCCCCGATTGCCCCAATGGATTCTCCACCTCCCCACGCTCCTGAGGAGTGTTGGGGCAGCAGCTGCTGCTTATATCCACTGACAGCATTGGCCCCAATGCTGGTGCAGACTCCAATCACTTCACACCATCAGCAGGTGCGAGCGGGGTTGGCACTGTCAGAAGGGGGAGGGAGGGAAGCAGGAGCAGGTCTGCTGGCAGAGAGGAGACCAGGAGCTGTGATAGGAAAGGTCAGGCAGGGGTGTAGAGGATAAACTGAGACCCACCTCTGTGTCCACTCAGCCTCATGACCCACAGTTCCTTTCAAGGTACACAAATTTGTGCACTGGGCCCCTAGTTTTCTTAATAATATTCAGAGAACATTTTTAAATACATACACACACCCACACAATACAATGTAGTGTTTAATAGTTTATTTGTATTTTGTTTATGATCAATATTAGGTTATTTCATTCTTTCTGTTTCTGAGTGCTATGGAGAATTGCAGGAAAGACATTTTACCTTCCTGAGATTTGGATTCTTTCAACAAAGATAAATGAAGACAATGCTACTTATCTCACAGGATTACTGTGAGAATGTAGTAAAATGTATGAAGTATTTACTTAGTACAATGCTTGGTACATGATAACTAAAAACTAATACTGTATTATTAACTACTAGTGGAACAAGTACATTATAACAAGAGTGACCACGGTCCTTATTTGCTTGTGATAGTCCCAGTGTATACAGGTTTTCACAATGTAATTATTAATCACAACCATTTCCCTTTCTATGTCAATATGTCCCAGTTTAGATGGTAAATTATATGGTTACCCTAATGTATAACTGAAATACTTTTAAAAAAAAATATATATATATATATATATATCTTTATTGCTTTTTTAGAGAGAGTAAGGAGAGGGAGAGCTACCGTGTTTCCCTGAAAATAAGACATCCTCTGAAAACAAGACCTACTTACAGGTTTCCTTCTGAGTGAAATATTATATAAGGCGTCCCCCGGAAAATAAGGCCCCCCTAGGCTAAACATGAGAGATTTGGTCCACTGATTCTGAAAGAAATGGAATCACAAGAAATTCACCAGGAAACTCAGGAATTGGATTGTTATGATGATGTCCCAGAAGATGATGACATGATTGTCATTGAATAAATGAGTAAATTCTTGATACTGTAGGATTCACAGTTTGTCTGGTTTGTGTTGACAACTACGGTACTACCATACCAAATACAGGTAATAAACTTCCTTTATTTTCATTTAACAATAAATGTGTATCGTATTCTTCTTCATGGAAAAATAAGACATCCCCTGAAAATAAGACCTAGCGCATCTTTGGGAGCAAAAATTAACATAAGACACTGTTTATTTTCGGGGAAACAGGGTAGAAACATCGATGAGAGAGAAACATCAATCAGCTGCCTCTGCACATCCCCCACTGCAACCAAGGTGCATGCCCCTGACCGAAATCGAATCCGGAACCCTTC